CAAGTTAAATAACAAAAGTGTTTGTAGAAAACATAATTTTAATAAATAGCAACTCAAAGAAACAGCTTTAAGATAAAAACCAAAGTAATTTTTAACAAGAACTATCATTAATAAATTAATTGTCAAAGTGACATATAGTTGTCAAATAAATAAAACCGCCAATGTGATAGGACTTAAAAAACAGAGAAGTCTAAAATCAAGAGAAAAATTAACTGATCATTTCACTGAATCAGAATAACGAAGTTTTAAGTACAGATTTGCTTGTATCAGGTGAAGCAAAAAATGTTGTTATCCACAATCACTAATGTAATATGCCTATTACTAACAACGTTAAAATTACAAAAACAACGAGAATTTTTTCTCTAAAATTTTCAAGTTACGCATAATATTTTGTTAATTTAGTATTGAATTGCTTTTGTAGCAGATTCTCTTACTTCTGGGGGAGCACACTGCTCCATTTCGTCGATTTTAAATCAGATTCACACATTATTTCAATATTTTTTTTGACATTTCTGAAATGTCAAAAATCAAACATCATTTGGATGGCCTATCACGTTTGGACCTTAAGTTTGTTACAATTTTATTGTAAGTCAAATTTTTGACTGAAAATAATGTGATTGTGAATAAAATAGCATACAAACCTCGGTGGTAATGGCATTACCACTATTTTTTTTACCATCTCGCATGTAATGTACTATTTTGCAGTTTCGGAGTAAAATCAAAGATAATTTTTTTTCTTCTTGTAAACTTAATCCGGGGACATACTGTATGTGGGTAACTTTGTACATGAGTCTCTTAAAAAAACAAACTAATATTTTGAAAATTACATTTATGTTATTTTCTTTTCTTTTAATAATTTATCTGGTTAATACAATTTTATAAAATAGAAACTTTTGACGATTACAAATTTTGTAAAAAAAAAATCTGTTATTTTTTCTTTAAAATCCAGCCCATTAATGGCGGTGTCGCAATTGTTTCAACAGGTCATTGAAAATCATATTTAAACATTGAGTGTTAATTTGGTATTTGGTGTGGACACCCTGCTGATAAAAGGAAAATAAATACGGACACGGTAACAGGAGAAACATTTCAATTCGGTTCGAGCTTCAAAGTTGAAGTGCGTCACAACGTCGGCGAACTTCAACAGCAAGCTTTATACAAACCTTGTTCAAATAAAACCCAGTTTACAATCGTTTGAAGTGTTTTAAGTGGACACAGTTTCAAATGTCCAACCTAAAGCTTCCTGTCCGATCTCCGGTTTAGTCAGTCCTGTGTCAAAGGATTAATTGAACCCAGGTTTTAAATAGCCAACAATCGGCTATTATTTGTTTATGTGTCAGAATAAACGTTGGCAACATTTAATTTTCACGACAATTATTAGGTGACTAATCATGAAACGTTTAATTTAATGAAGAGAAAAAAAACGATAATAATTAACAATGCAGCGAATTGAAACATCGTTAATTTTGGTGATAAATGGAGCGGGAACGAAGTATCCAGCCGACATCCCCTCATCCCAATTATAAAGACTGAAAATCCTGAAATTTAAATTAGGCGACTCCCCAACATCACCGACAATAGAGTTCCATTAACAAAAACAGCTCCCTGTGGTATTCCCGACATTTTTTTTTCGATTAGTTCTTCGTCCTCGACAATCCGAAGGCATAAATCATTTTCGATTCCCCATATGTTTCCGCACCGCAAAAACAATTACCAAGCCAATTACAACGCTCAGTATTAAAACCAGAAATCAAAGCCACGAGATGCAATGATTAAGATAATACCATTACCGTTATCTATCCCATAATCCATTAGCGGGCTTTGTGTGGAGCGGACGTGTAAGCGTGACCACGTTTGTTATTCACGTTTCTCCCTCCATGCGACATAAGGGGTACAAACTTTGCAATGGAACATCAAAGCTTGCCTCACCGAAGCTTCAACTAGAATTTTACTTGTCTCCTATCAACATTATCTACATTGCAACAGACGTTTTTCTTGCATCCATGCATGCAAAGTGTCGCAAAACTATGTTACAAATGATATGTGGAGCTCAGGTTTGGTTGACAGAAGTAATTCTGCATGTATTTTTACAGATTCTGTTGCTGACGTTATTGATAAGCACACTTTTCAATATCAACATTTTATCAATCACAATGATACACGTCTAACATAGCGTTATAAAAACATAAAAAATTGTGTATTGTAATTACCCTCTCATCTTTTTTCCATTACAAAAAATAAGTAAATACTAATAAAAAATTTGGTAATTCACTTTTTGCAATTAAATCCGAAAACTTCTCGATAGATCTGTTCTTAAGTTGCAATTAATTCAGCGGTCGTCCTTTGATGAAACTGTTTTTCTCTCTGTTTGTTTTTCTCTCAACGTGTATCGATTTTTCTCCGTTTTCTTTGTAAAACTTTAGAAACTGTAATTTAGTAATAGAGAATTCGAATATTGGCGTCCCTTGGACGTCACCACTGCGTTTTCGTTTGATCGTCTAACCACTTTTTATCTGTGTTTCATGAGTCGCTAGATCGTATTTTGGCTGTGAAAAAAGTCGAAGACGTGTAATTTAAATATTTTTTGGGTACGTCGAAGAGTTTTTCCAACGGCTGAAGAAATTAAAATGCAAATTAAGGTAAATCTACTATTCAATCTGTCGCATTCGTTTCCGAATCAATTTCCGAAACATTTGGCCATCACAGCGCGGTAATAGCTTTACGACACCCTTTCGCTATCCCTGATTGATTTCCAGAGGGATGGGACGAAACTGATTATGATTATTCATTGATTCGAAAGCGTTCAATTAAATACAAAACAATAAGAATTTTAGAGCGGGAACGAGACTTAAAATAGAACGCGGACGCAGTTGAATTTTGGACCGGGTTAAACGTGCTGTTATTAAAAGTTGCTATTTAAAACTGGAATCAAGCAAATTTTATTTTTTTTTTATTGTTTCCTTAATTCTAAAAGCATCTAAACAAATTCCGTTTTTGCTAAATTGTGTCGGAATATTCTTCAAGTGATTTTCTTTTTGTACGAGTTTGGTGTAAGTATATCTACAATATTCATTACTATTTATTAAGAACATCGGTGGATGGCTTAGTTAACACAGTCTCCGAATAACCGGACGTGTCGTTTAAGAACTTTGCAAAAGCCGGAAATAACTCCTTCCTTTTAAGCTGGAATATGTTCAGAACTTAATAGAGGTCTGTCGAGTCTTTTCTAAAATTTGCAAGTATTATAAAGTAATGTTTATTCAAATTTTGTGAAATTCTGCCGTTCTTATATAATGCCTCTCAAATTAGTTTACGAAAGCTTTGTGCAAATGTTTTATTCACTCCATGAAAAATTAAATCAGATTTTAGAATCTTGTCCCTTTGGACAAAGACATTTTTCAAAATATATAAGAAAGGAGCATTGATGTTGGATGCATACGTATTGTGCTTAAAGTAGCCATAAATTATTTTAACTGCCTATAGAAACGTATGCATTTTTTAAGTTTTATTGATAGGAAAGAGCTTGCTACATTATTGGGAATTTTCATAAAAACCCTTGATTTATTTATTACTCGCAGTAATACTGAGAGACTTCAAAATCGATACGAATCGGAAATGTTATTTCACATTTTTACCTATTTGCAGCTTATCATACTCATTTAACATATAAAGTGTGTGTGAATGTTAATTGAACATTCGATAATCTTTATGTTTGTTTTGTTTGCTTATTCAATACAAAATAGTTAAAAAAATACATACAGGTGTGTCAGAACTCGCGCCCCAGAGAAAAATTTCAAGTAAGATAAGAACAGGAACATGGAAAAAATGTTTCAAAAAATCTATCTGTCAAAAAATTTTGACATTTATTTTTTGACATTTGAATTTTTTTTATGTGTATACTGATGATCTTGTATGTGTTTTTTAATAATTATTTAGCAAAAGTACAAAAAATTAAAGCCACAAATAACATTGAACAGTGTTATGATTTATAGGATACCGTTTCCTTATTTCAAATCTTCTAATAGCCTGTAGCAAAAAATTTGAAAAATTATTTTTCCAACAGAAATAAGTAGAGTAAAGTGCAAAATTTAAACTCTCATAACTTGGATTTATAACTAAAACTTTTTAACATTTGTTCCTAGTATCTTACCATATATTTTTCTCTGAAGCGCGAATTCTGGCGCAGCCTGTATGTATGTAGATGTAAATACTTATTATACACCGGCTTACCTATAAGCTACAGTAATAAAGACGGGTATATTTTTAATATTAATTGACACTTAAAATACATACCTATTGAAATTTATAAAAAAGTTTTGAAATTAGATTTTTTTGACAAGATTTAACAAAATGCATTGATTTTATTATACATATGTCTTTCTATAATTTGCTATAATGAATGGTAAAAAATAATACAAAAACATATAATAATACATTTTTAAGACATAAAAGCTTTGTTAATAGAGAAGTAGAGCAGAGAACGATAGGAGTGGGGAAGGGTGACATTTTTTTATTCAAACGATTTTGAGTGTTTTTCTATTCCCTAACTCGTTTTTTGTTTAAAAATGTGGTTTTCTGTAAAAATGTGTGTTGGCCTTTTTTCTATTAGGTACTTAAATTGGATGAAAATGGAAGTAGTCACTTAAAGAAAATATAAAGAGAAAATTGAATACATTTAAGTTTTTAAATTGCAAAAGCTTGCAAAATTAGAAAATCACTTAATCAAATAACTTATTTCTGTAGATTGTTTTTATTTCGCATTACCAATTGCTATTATTTTACAATTTTTTTTGGTGGCCGATAAACAAAAACAGAGTCTGAGTTTGTGCTTCGCGTAAAGAATTTCCCTAATAATATAATAAACACTAAAGTGTCTCTCCTACCCAATTACGCTTAGAGACACTTGAAAGGTGGAAGTTGTTAAGTTTCGCACTTATTTGCAAGTTTAATAAGAAATATGTCAAGACAAACAATGCAACTAGACAAAAAAAACAAACAAAAACACTTTAAATATTTATTAAGTATTAGTTTATGCCTTTAAAATACAATAATAAAGTAGTAATAAAACAGCACTAACCCTAAATACAATATTATTGTGACTTGCTCGTCTTAGTCGTCATTAAGGAACTGCGGTGGAGGCGGCAAAAATTCGTTGTGTCTCTTGATCTTATCTCTAGCCCTCGCACAGGCTTTCTGGTCTTTTATCTGTTCGGCGGGACAACCGAGCTGAATTTCCCTAAACATACAGTGCATAAGTTTAACCCCGGCTGGATTACAAGATTCAGTATCGGAGGTATCGCGGTTGGCTGTGGCATTCTTGGCTTCAGCCAAGCATGTTGAAACCACTTTGTCCTGAATCGACGCAAACCAGGATTCCTTCGCCATGGTCTCCTTTATGAACGCTTCAAACTGGCTCTCTTTCACATTACCATCCTTATCCAACTACAACCCAATTATTTACAATTAACAGTGATGCGTGACGGAAGTGGATTTCCAGGTAATTCGTGTTTTTGGACCAGTTTTCACGCGAGATAGACATAATCAGGAATTTAATAAAAGACAGGATATGGACGATTTAGATTCGCAATAGTGCGGCCTTGAGGGATATTTGCTACTTACCACATCTTTCTTCTGACCTACGCATTCGAATACACACTGAAAACAACAAATAACAAATAATCAAATTTGGTTGTAACTAGTACCGTCATGTCTCGGCGGTGTTTATCCACTTTGTCGCATCTGAAAGGATCGAAATCGCGAGGGCCATCCTTATCCTTGTTACCTACAACTTGCTTGAAACACTCTCTCTTAAAATCGCGCTCTTTTTCGTGGATGTCGTCAAACGTTTCTTCAGCACAACACAGTTTCTTCTTCCTGAAGGGCCTGCATTTTTCCCCCATGACCCCTTCTTCATCTCTTCGACTCCGGTAGTGTGAATAAGACGAAGTTTCAAGCTCTACTAGCTCATTTGCCAAAATCTGATCTGTGAAGAAGTTATTTGAGTACCACCAATTGTGTAGTGAAAATTTACTTACTAAATAATGGATCATTAAATTCGTATGCTGCAATGACGGCAACGACGACTATAAGAAGAGTAACGACTGCGATTTGCTTATTCATTGCTGTGCTAGTTTATTACCACTGACCGGCGATCTTCTAAGCGCCGTTTATATACCAGTTTCATGATGGCAAAACTCACGTCAGCATTCAAGTACCTGCAAAAAAATTATAATGATCCAACCATTTTCTCAGTGGATGATTTCAAACAATTTTTTGTTTGGAGAACAATTAATTTTAAGTTACAATCGTGCGAATTCGCAAAAAAATTGTTTTAAATTATAATTATTGCACCATAAATCGTAAAAAGAATTAGAAGGAAGGTCTTTTAGCAAATTTTGTGTGAGCTAAAAGAATTTCATTAGATCTATTTAAAAATCCACAAGCCTTTCGAATGTTTACATTTTAATTATGGAAAGTAATTGAAATTTCTTCCAGCAAAGCCTCTGCTTACAAAAGAGTGTACGTTCGCTCATATTGTCCCTGAATTCTTAATTGGAGCTTTTTTAATAATTTATTACGGCAGCTATAACCTCAGAGTTCGTTAGACTAAATCCTGAATGAAATGAGCTGCTTTATTTTTCTTAATTTGTCATTTAGGTACTTAAAAATATTTCAAAAATAACAACTTCTAATTAAATAAATATTTTCTTAAAAGCACTGTGTACTTTTTATACAAAAAATTGTTAAAAACTTTTTAATTTGTTTTTTTTTTGATAACAGTAGAAAGCAGCAGTTTCCAGACTGTGGCAGGAGCTTTTTGACAATTATAAGTTTTTGTTTCCTTTAATACGTATAGAAGACTTTTACATAAAACTAGAATTTCATAGAATATACATAGAATTATCTATTAAATTAAACATACTGGATTGTTATATAAACCACGAGTCTGACAAACTTTGAGTAGAGTACTTAATGTAAATTAACGAAAACTTGCTTTATAAAATTAATAATTTAATTTGTCATTATTTTTTAGACATTTTTTAAAAAACATAAGAAATAAATTGTCTTTAGCAATGGTTGGTCAAAAATTAAACAAAATTTGATTGTTGAATCTAGTATTTTGTGAACATTCTGTTTTGGGTTGTCAGACTTTTAGTTTTATAAGTAACAACCGAAAAAATTCTTAGTAGGTAATTGCGCAAAAAAAGTTTTAGAGTGAAATAAATAACAATAATTTTAAATTTATTTTTAGAATAGTGGCAAATTTCATATTACGTACTAAACAATTAAATATATACAATTCACTCCAATTACTGTTACAGTGCATTTACCACCATAACAAGTTGTATCCCATAAACACAATTTGCAAGTGCATAAAACGATATGTTAATTATATAAGTACTCGATAACACTTGCGTGTCACTTAGATATATTATAGCTCTATACCGTTAAGTTTGACCCCCATAACACTTTAGGCGATAGCTTCTGCGGGTGCACCTTACCATTAACCAAACCCGGACCAGCTTTTAAGAATTTATAGCAGTTTTAAAACCCACATAGAAAATGAACAAGTTGTGGACATAGTTGTAACAATTTTATCTGGATGTGTTTAACGGTACTTGGCAGAACGTTTAAGAATAATTGCCTCATCATTCCACCGTGTGTTTGATAGTTATGAAAAAGCCTAGCACTAATAATAATTAAAGTCGATAGTCAAAGTGATGGATTACAAAATTAAAAGATTGTGCCATGTATACGTATCTAGTAGATAATTTTTGTTTGACCGTGAACTCGGTTTTCTGGTGAAGGCTTCTAAATATTGATGGCAATTTATATCGATTGTACTTTTTATGTATAATCTATTTGAACAAAATAGTGGATAATCCTGTAAATAATTTCATTCGTATTGTATTGTGGCAGGGTATCGGGATACAACAACACTGCTTTGTGCAAACTCGTTGCATCGATTCGTCGACATACCACGAGAAACATAAAAATAAAACTTTTGATGTGAACCTATCGATTATGTGTGTAATATAATAAATGGCAAAACGAGTGTTGATCCTTCGTTTCGAAGCGACAGGATACCATTACAGAAATATCCTAATATCCTTGTTGTGTGTTCAACATTGCTCAATAAATCAAACAAAATTGATTACAAAGTAGACAAGTGCTGTCAACACAAACTTTTCAAAAAGTGACACCGGTTACAAATGGCTGCTGACGCTTTAATGAACCGATTTTAAGTTTACCGAAAGATTTCACATGATAGATTGCCACAGCAAATTGAATGCAAACTGAGATTATATCTCTGCAATACGCTGAAAAATTGCCAAATTGGCGTTAATAAAATTTATTTCCTTTTAATAGTGAATGTGCTGTAAATAATAAATTATAATGAATATAGGGCTGGCAAAAAGAGTGCTTGTAGATAAAAAATAGAAACGAGAACAGAGCTTTAAATTTTTATTTTTAGTCAGCTAATTAAACGTTTATTTTTTCAGTCATTTGCTAGTTTTACGCTAATTACTTCTTTAATTGTATTTTAGTAGCAATTACATTCAGTTTATTATAATAATGTTAGTAACGGAATAACGACTTATGACGTTTGTTTAATAACACATTTTAAAATTCTTGAAAGTTCCAAAGTAAATAAATTCTACTTTTATACGATATCAGCAAGTTAAAATTGCTCTTCTTTACTTCGTTCGGATACTTGTTATTAAGAGTTTTCGTGACTTGATATTCTCGGAAGTCGTCATTTTTATTATTCCGATACTTTAAATCACATTTATAGTTTTTACAAAACTTATAATTTAATACAATCTCAAAGTAAAAATAGAGATGTTTCATAAAAATAATTTTGTTTCGAGCATATTTGTCTTTTATTTATGCTATTCAGTACACATTATGTAACTTACAAAAATAGAAAATTAGGTACTTTAATGAACCATAATTGCATGAAGATGACATTCTGAGTAAACTTGAGTTTTTTCTTGTCACAACCTTGCAAAGTCCTGTAAAATCACACAAAAGTCAAACTAAAGTAGGTAACAACTTTGTTAATATAATTCTGTTAATTTAAATTGTAATATACAAGCGCACACGGAATTTTGGACGATTTGTCATTCGACTGACATAAAATTCCGTGTCCGCCAGTGTATTGGTAATAATTAGCTTAATTAGTATTGTGTTGTCTGAGACAACTTGTCTCAGACGTGTCAACTTTACATAAAAAAGTGTAATAAAGCCTAACAGTAATTTTTTACATATTGATGCAGAACTCCTCGGTGATACATTTTGTAACACCCTGAAATATTGCAACTTGTTTATAATATTCTCATACAAATCTCCGGGATTACCATACATTTGCGTTCATTTCTCTATATTTGATAATACTATATGTATTTAATTTTGGCAATGCAAATAAAGCTTATTTAAATACATACATAATGTTTTAAGCAGTTTATGTAATGTATGTACATTATGTGGTTTTTCCATGTACAAAACAGTTTGGTATTTTGTAATACGTATTATTAAACTAATAAAAGACATTAGTTTTGATTTAGCTTGCGAACTACTTCGAAATAATTAATTACTGTATATTTTCAAGAGCGAAACTTTATTTTTTGCAACTTTAGTTCAAATTAACATGTTATAGCCGTCATTAAGCATTCCATTAAACACAACTGAAGTTGTTTCGCTATTCCGTTTTATTCGCTGTTTTATCAAGCGAAAATTTAATTATGATGTGTTTTTTAGTTATATTGCGATATAAATATTTTATCGATTTTTTACACTGAAAAAAAACAAACAATTATGTTCTACCGTTTATTTATATTGATTAAAAACTACAAAATTCAAATTATTGGGTTCTTTTTCATTATACTTTTCCAATTCGTTGTGTTGTGGGGTTGGGGCTTTCTTTGTTGTTGAAGTTTCTGCTTCCACACAGCTAAATAAGATACTGCTAACAACTGTTTTGTCTCGAAAAGTAGTAGATATGAAAAGGAGATTATACCTCCAAAAGAGAGTGAAGATAATGACAGTAATTTATATTTTGTTTCAAACGCGTTATCCGAGTTTGATAATATACCCGACAATTTATTTCGATACCTTTTTAATATTTAGTAGGTAAGTTTCATTTGAAATTGCTTCTTTTCGAATATTGTTTAAGTTGTGACATGCCTGTCACAAAGTTAACCGGTAAAAAAATAATGTTTAAAAATGTTTTCCACGATGCGTGAACACATGAAGAGATATACTTAAAATGTCAATTCTGACACGTATGAAATATTAGTTTAGGTGCATAATTTGCACACTACTGACGTGCCACATGCAATGCAATCTAGACTTATAAATGGTTTAGAATTTATTATCTGATTTTTCCATACCTTAGGGACTGTATTAAGTAAGACATTTGCTCTAATTAAACATGCAGAACGACAGCATAAAAATCCGGGGTGTATTTTATGTGGCCATAAAACGCAATAATCGCCCTATTAAGACCATTTTTCGATACCGCTCCACCTCTCTTTATCTGTGTACGCTATTCTGTATTATTTATCCAATTACGAAAACAAAGAAAGAATTTCGAGTAAAAAAGTGAAACAAAAAGCTGTAAAAGCCCGATTACTGTCCATATCGCTTTTACAACCCTTTAAATCTAATAAAAGCGGCGTTTTATGTATACCCTCAGCCACCACAAGAGCGGGCCTACGTCGCTTCACTATCTAGGATAACAATCTGACAAATTTACCGTTTCTTAAACTTGGATAAAATACATTCTTGGGATACTTTTGTAAGTGCAAGGAGCGCAAAACACCTCAAATAAATCAACACGGTGCCGAGATAGGAGGCGGACACACCCTCACACCTACCAAAGCTCAGAATAAGTGCCCCGTGATTTATATACGCGACTGACGGGGGTTAAAACAAAAGAAATTTTGCTTTTCCTGGTCTAGAGGGTCGCGTTTCGCGGAAGTTGTACTCAAAGCGAGGAACAGATATACGAAATTAGCACTTGGCTTAATTTGTAGACAAAACTCTACTAAAATGAAGGTTTATGTTATTAAATAAATTTACATTTAAATACCATCATTTACAATTATGTTTAAAAATATAATAAATGAGTTAAAACAAATAAAAGTAAAATTTATTTATA